TCTAAGATTAAGATTTAGGATTTGATTAGAATTTGGTCTAAGATTTGATTAAGACTTAATTAGGATTTATTAGGATTTAATTAATATTTGATTAAGTTTTTATTAAGATTAGTTTAGGTTTTGATTAAGATTTTATTAGTATTTGTTTAGGATTTATTGAAAGTTAAATTAAGATTTGATTAGGATTTAATTTTATTTCTTTAATAATTTTTTATTTTTTTAGGATTTTTATTATATATATATATATTCTTTTAAGATTAATTTATGATTTTTTAAATGTTTTTTTAGAAAATTCTATGAAACTTTTTTTTGAATTTAATTAAAATTTGATTAATATTATTATAATTTAATAAAAATTTATTTAAAATCCTATTTAATTTGTTAGGATCTTCTTGTTGCAAGTTTGATTTTACATTCTTCAGCTATGCATCTAGTGCATTCTTAAGCAAATTTTACAAAATACAATAATAATATAAGATTGATGCATAAATAAATGTTGTATTTAAAGCTTTAGAAGATGCTTCAAATTCTTTGCTATACTCAAGTTTGTCTTTACATGTGAAATGTATAAGTAAAGCTGTAACTTAAAAAAAAAAAATTGATGAAGTTTTGATAATAATTTACAAATTCTAAAAAAATATTATATATATATTATTTTTGATTTTTATATATATTATTTTTGAAACCTTCTAAGTAATAATAATTTGAACTTTCTTTGGATCCATCATAAGATCATCATTTGAAATGATGTATTCTATAAGGTCAACTTGAATAATGTGAATTATATGCTTTTTCAACTTGGTATATAGTCTTGTATCTTTAAGTTTTTATGATACATGATAAACATGAAGTTCATGCTTTTTTGTGTTTTTAGAATAGATTAAAATTTCATTTAAATAGCATAAGATAAAATCATTTGGAAATTCTCCAAAGATATCATTCATAAATTTTTGAAAAGTAGCTAGGATATTTATAAGTCCAAAAGGTATGACATTATATTCAAAATATCCATACCTAGTTTGAAATATTGTCTTTTATTTATCTACTTTTTTAATGCATATCAAATTGTATGCTTTTTGTAGATCTATTTTAATATAGATCATAGCTTGATTTAATTGATTAAAAAATTCCAATATCAAAGATAAAAGATACTTATTTTTAACATTGTTCTTGTTGAGTCTTTAATAATCCATATACATTTGTAGCAATCCATCTTTTTTGTTTGCAATAAGATAGAAGCTCCTATTGGAGATTTTGAATATCATATGAAATTCTTGGTTTAATTTTCATCAATATATTTTTTGAATTCAGCCAATTTATTGTACAATAAACTAGAATGAGTTGTTTCTTGAAGATCAATTAAGTAATTATAAAGGTGATGCTTTAGAAGAGTATCTACATTTTTTTATTAAAAATATCTTGATAATCTTAATATTGGCTTGAAATGCCACTTGAAGTCATTCCACCATTAGAAACATATGTGACATAAATAATATAAGGTGATCTTTCTTTTATAGCTTGCAAGATATCTCTTGCATCTAAAAATATGACTTTAATTGCAATAGATTTTTGACTTTTTATAAAAGTAATAAAAATCTTAATTATACTTTGAAAAAAATCAAGCCTATAAGAAATCTAATTTATTTTAGAATTATAGTTTTTTAGCCATAATAAATCTAAAATAATTAGATTTAAAGAAGATATAATTATATTGAATATCACAAAGCTACTATGACCATTATTTGCTACTTTTATAGAAAAGATTTCATAAATAACATCTCTATAAAATAATGGATGATCATTTATGACTTCCACATGAATAAATTTAGTTTTTTTTTTTTATCAAAATATGCTATATTTTTTAATAAATTCTTCATTTAAGAAATAAGCCAAGGCTTTTTAATCTAGCTAGACTAAGGCTTTATGATGTTTAGGTTATAAACTAACATCTATTATAAAACAAAGAAAAGGTTGTGAAGAAAGAATAGAACCTTTCCTAAATGTTGTACAAAGTTCCAATTAAACAATCTCTATTATAGCTAGACAAATTTGTTTTCCAATTTATTGTCTTCTTCAACAACCATATTCTTTATTTTGTAGTTATATTGCTTCTTTGGAAAATATTAAATAATTTTCTTAGATTCTCTACAACATAAGCACAATCTTTCTTATCAATAATAAGTCTTGTCTTACTTAAAAAGAGGCTTGAAATATACTGCATTAATTTAGATGTCTTTTACTTGTGAATGTATATATTGAAAAGATATTGGTGTTGCCATTGAATTGTAAAAATATTAAGGCATATTTATGTGAATTTTATATCAAAATTCAAAAAGCTAATTATGATACTTCAAAGCAAAGTCAATTGTTTGACTCAATGTTTGAGGATCATATAAGTTGAGCATCAATTTCTTTACTTCATGTTGTAATCTATAAAAAAATTAATTAATTAATATAGTGTCATTTCACTTTTATTCAATTTTAAATTATTAAAATTATAAAGTATACAATATTTTCATATAGAAATATGGCCATTAAGTGAAAGAAGAAAGAAAATATATTATTATAGAATAATTTAATTTTAAAAAATATAATAAAAAAATATAGGTAAAAAATATGTATATAATAAAATTTTATAATATTAGAACTACTTTTTATAAAAATATACTCTAATTACTTTATATAGCCATAAATAAGGCAAAATAAAGTAGATTAGAAAAATAAAGAATATAGGCATGTGTAAAAAGGAGTTAAGAATTGATTTTAGCAATAATTACTTTAAAAAAATTAGAATTGATATCCAAAGAGGACCAATTGCCAACTAAGGGCAAAATCAAATCTCAAGGCACAAAATCAAGTACTTATACTATTTTTGTGATTCTTTTACAAAGCAAAAAAGTAAAATTTGAAAAAAAAATAGATTAGATTTTTTTAATTATTAATTTTGAAGGATCTAAGTTTGTAATGACTTTATAAGAGCTTTGCAAAGTCAAAATTATTTTGGGATGATCCTAGATTTTATGAAATAAATAGGATTGATATTTTGGATAATTTTGCAAGTCTTATAATTAATCTAGAAGTAAAAATTATAGATTTGTGAGTATAATTGTGCTAAATATATGCTACAAATTTGAGCTTAATTAATTGGTTAGGTTAAAGGTTATTGAAGTTCAAGTGGATTGAGATCTGAAATATTGGAGTTTGAAGGTTAGTAAGAGTTTCTAAGATCTTTGGCAATTTGCTTATTGAATTGAAAAGAAAATTATTTGTATGGATAATAGACTTGATTTCTAAAATTTGGATGAATTTTGAAAGAAATTCAATAGTTTAAAAAGGAGATATTGGCATTAGAAGCTTAGCATTAAGGTTGAAGAAAGAGGCTATCCAACATCTAAACAGATTATCTTACATTTCTTTCAATTAATAAGTGCAACTGATCTTATTTTTTTCATGCTTATTTATAATTAAGTTATTGAAAAGTAAGTAAATTTTGAATTGATATCAATGGTTCAATCATTAATTATTGAGATTTTGATCTACTATAAGATTTGATTAGGACTTAAGATTTGATTAAGATTTTATTAAAGTTGGTCTAGGATTTGGTTAGGATTTAGAATTTATTAATAGAGTCATTAGGATCATCTTATTGCAAGTTCTATTTTATCTTCCATAGCTAGGTACTTAGTGCATTTTCTAGCAAACTTCATGAAATACAACAACATTACAAATTGATTGCCTTATCATAAGATACAAATCTTTTTGATTGAAGTACAAATTACATCATATTTTTTATATATGGATCAAAATTCTATCAATTTTATTTTTCAAATTATCTAATATTGGATCTTATTATTTAAAAAAAATGATAATATAAAAACCTAAAATTAGTGTATCAATGAATCTAAGTTTGTAACAAAATATTTATAATATTTTGGAACATATAAAAATTTCAACATTTAGAAATAAAACGAAAATTTTGGTTGACCTTGTACATAAATTACATGTTTATTTAGATTTTAAATTTGATACCCCTTATGATTCCAAAAAGCTGAGTTGTATTAGCTTATTATTCTAGTATAATAAGTAGGCAAAAGAGCATTACACATTCATAAATATGTGTACTTGCACAATTTACTCATAATAAACCTAAAATTCATTCTAATTATAGATTTAATATGATATATCAAATGAATGTATTAGAATTTTTATATAAATTGAATAAATAAATTATTATCTTATACTCATGGTTATTGCAATGATGTAAAAATATTTGTTCATAAGTTTCATTACTGCTATTAACAACCCTTCCAATTTTTTGACAAAAAAATGCATTCTGTTGAATTGTACCCATGAGTGTTCTATTTTGAATATTAATCGAAGAAAGAAAGAAAGAAAAACAACATATTCTTACTACTTTCATTCGAAAATTGAGTATGTGTGTATATTTACATTACGAATACAGATGTACATTATTATCAATGTAGTTACTGTATATATACACATTTGATACACATTAATCTTTAATTTCAATCATTTTTTACAAGGACACAATACTCCCCTTTTACACTTTACAACAGATACTTTACAACAGATACTAAAAAAACACACAATAACTATAAAAATAAAAATAAAAATAAATTTACCATTTTCAGAACGCACTTAGTAAATCACACACTGTTTAGAACAGAAACACACAGTGTGACTTACTGAAAGGATCGTGTAAATCTGGGAGGAAACGAACAGTAATTAATTAATTAACTAACTAATATTTCCAAATAATCAATCAATCGAGCTGGAAGATCAGACCCCTTCTCACAGACAAACAGACAGATAGACGGACAGGGAGTATTCCCCTGGCCCCACCTCACATTATTGAACCTATACCCGCATACCCCATGTAATACCCGGAAAACCCATGACACCTGGAATACGCCCGGCTTCATCCCGTTCACACTGACTGGGGGGGGGGAGGGGGGGCAGAGGGCAAGCAAGCAGGGCTCGCATCGTGCGTGATTGTGTTGCATCACCGAGAGAGGAGGAGGGCAGGAGCGGGAGATCATCGACTTGCATCTGTCGATCAGCATTGTTCTCGCTGCTGTAGTCGGGAATCAATTCGCTGCTGCTTTTCGTGTGACATGTTTTAGAACCCCCCCCCCCCTTTTTTTTGGGTACGTGGCTGGACGAAGGAGCGGCGTTGCGTTGTCTGTTTTCCCCCCCGCTCCCCCTCCCCCTCCCTTCATTGACGTGTTGGCACTGCCGTCGGCGTGTTTGGGTAGTTTTTGTTTCGTTTTTTTCGTTTTCTTTTTTTCGTTTTTTGTTGGGTTTGGTTTGTGAGCAGCGGGATTCATTGAGTGGCTGAGGATGACATCTATAGCTACGTACACTCGGAAGCGGAAGAAAGGGACGGGGTTTATCGGTGTTGGAGCTGTCGATTCGAAGCCTGATTTTACTGAGTTGGAGTTTAGTCATGTGGGTTTGGGGGGAGGGGTGAAGAAGTTGGAAGGGTATTCGAGGAGGGGGAAGAAGTCGAAGAAGGGGAAGAAGGAGGAGGGTGGTGAGGAGGGAGGAGAAGGAGGAGAAGAAGGAGGAGGAGAAGCTGTTGTGGACAAAGGCGTTGAGAAGGTTACGAGGACTTACCGGCGTAAAGATGCCGTTGGAAGAAAGCCAGTTGCACGCAGGGCTTTTGCCGCAGCAGTGAAGGTAATTAACTTGTAAGAGTATGTTTTGAATTATGATGTTTTAGCGGGATAGTCGCGGGGTTGAATAATATTTATGAGTGGCATATTATCAAGTTGACCATGTGGTTGTCTTATTGGAAATAATTAAATTTTCGGCTCGATACATAGTGATGAAATCAAGAGAGGTTGTATGATTTCAGGGAGGGTGTGAAGCTCTGCTTAAGGTTGTGGATGATACGGTAGCGGGTCTTGCTCCTCTGAAGTTTGAGCCGCCAGTCGCATTTGTGTAAGTTCGTATTGTAGTCCCTTGTTTCATGTTTTCCTGTTTTCAGGGCAGTGCGACATTGTGAAATAGGGTTTCGTCGCTTTCTTCTCCTTCTCCTTCTCCTTCTTCTTCTTCCTATTGTTATTATTACTATCATCACCATCATCATCGATGTTTCTGTAGTTGCTAGAATAGGGTGCCTTCTATTCTAGGTGTTAGGGCTTTAGTATTCTCTTTACTCCTCAGTTTTACAACGAAGAGTTATTCTTATGGCTCTCTAAGTATGAATGTTAAGAGATTTAGCCTGTGGAAGAAATGGTCGTGTCTTCATCGTCTGCTAGCTTAGGCTTCGGAATGTGGGATTGCACTGATGGATTGCCCGAACGAACTCTTAATGAGTGATGGCTTAGCCGAAACATTGGTTTTTCAGATATAATCCGCTTGAGTATGCAAGGAAACCTTACGAAGAGTATGTGCGAAAATATGGTGCGATTTCTCTGATTCAACTTATTCTTTTGTAGAGATTAGACTTTCGCGCGTATTTTCTGAATGTGATCGTGTCTTGTTTAGCCTGGATTGGCATGAACGGGTTCTATACCCTTCTTTCATGGCCAGATTTTCCCCGGGTATGGAGCTGTATGTGCTCACTCATGTGTAATGTTTGGGATTACAGGGGGTAAGAAAGTAGAGGTTTTGATTGTGAGCACGAGCCCGGGACCCTTTGGGATGACTCAGGTATGATTTCTTTCTCCCGCTCTTTTTCATGTTCCGCGGACATCGTATTAAGGATCGGGTCTACTGCTTTTTGCGGTACTTTCAGACATCCTGATCCGATCATTGTGGATGTGTTAAGACAGGGGTGCCGTTTGGGGATAGCGTGTTTGTTCGCGAATTTCTTCATATAACAAGCGAGGTCAACTATTTTCTCATTTTCCATCGGTATTGTTTTGTCTTCTTCCGTTTCCTATGGATAAATCCATCTTCCAGGTAATATGACTGGATGGTTTTTGGGGTGCAATGCAGATTAAGATTCCAGGAAAAACGCATCCTAAGAGGCCCATTATTGGGTTGAACTGTCCTCGTCGTGAGGTCTGACCCTATTCTAGTCCTCTCAATTTCTCTTACTTCTATTCCGGATGTCTCTAATTATCCATTGCAGTCGAGTGAGCTATTTGGAATTTTATTTTGTTGTGTTTAATATTTCCTTAACAGGTATAACCGATAAACAGACTCTTTCTCTTCCAAGTCCTGAACGATTGAGAATTTTCGTGTTTGTTCTTTCGAGTTTCCGTTCTATATAAGACTGTCCATTGTGAGCAGGTGAGCGGACAAAGGTTATGGGGCTGGGCAAAGGCTCGCTTTGGCACAGCTAGTGCATTTTTCGAACGGTTTTGGGTCTACAGTTATTGTCCCCTTTTGTTTGTGGAGAGTTCCGGCAAGTAAGTAACTTATTCATCCATGGTTTGTGCTATTATGAGCAGTTTTAGTTACTATTTTTCTTCGACTAGTTATTTCTCCCCGTTAGGTGCGGGGCATATTCAGGCCAATTAAAAAGCACAAAACTGATTTTCTTTCTTACCTGTAACGTCAGTACACCCATTTCCTACTAACTGAACATTCTGCCTCTCTGCAATATGTTTTAGTGTGAGGGTTTGAGGATTCGTTTGCAATTGGAAAGAACGCTTACGCTATAAAAGCATATTTTTGCCCAGAATTGTTTGCAGAAGATAATTCATGGTCCTAATTATTATTTTAAAGTTTCAGTAGAAAATGGATTAGAGTGTTATCAAGAACATGTATTGGCCATGTAGTAGGCGTTGGAAATGATAGAGAGTTGGAAATGGGTGCGCTTGCCCTATTGAACCTTACAAACAATTATTCAGGTTAAAGTTTTAATAGATAAAATTTCTGACTTTCAAGTTGCAGCTCGATTGCAAATTACTTAGTCCTTTTACAGGCTGGAGTGGTAAAGAAATCATACAATTATTTTGTTTACACAGCATTTAGTGATCGAGGTACTAAATTCGGTAGTGTGCTTTTGCAGAAGTCGCACCCCAGACAAGTTGACTCCTACTGAAGGTGTTTCAATTACAAATGTTTGTAATGAAGCTCTTCGGGCTGTTATTGGTGTGACAAAACCCCGTGTAATTTTGGGCATAGGTTAGTGCTGCCATTTGTTGAAACTTTTTTGTGAGCATTATGACATTTTGAATTTTATTAAGTAAGTGGTTGCCAATTTGATTGTTTTAGTTTGCCAGCCTTATTGTCTTCACAATGGTAATAGCTAGGGATGTTGAAGTATGGGGCGTTGTGGGTGATGCAATGATGCAAATGCGTAACATTCACTTTAATCATCCTTTCAGTCAAGCTTCTATCCACTTGTTTACAATCCGAGTCCCACAGCAAGTCATATGGATGGGTGAGTGGGGTGGGATGCAGGTGAATATGCGGGTGACAGAATAAAAGAATGTGCTCCTTCTGAAGTTAGAGTGGGGCATATTATACAGCCAAGTCCTTCCAATCTCAAAGCGACCAAAAACTGGGACAAGCTTATTGAAGGCCAACTGCGAGCTTTAGGCGTTAATGTATAGTCTTCCGTGGTCATTTTAGTGGGCATGTGTTTATTAGGGACATGGAAGTGTTGTGGAGCTGTGCAGAGGTTAAGAGATGCTGAAAAGGCATTGACTCAGGTTGAGTAGCAATCCCTCTTGTCAGTACTCATTGACTGTCTACAGTGCCTGCAGCTCCCAAACATGTCCTTTGTGGGTATGTGTCAAGTAGTCGCACTCTTGTTTGCTATGTCTGCCACCTTTAGGCATCTTTGACCCTAGACTAAGTTATTTCGTGTCCAGTGTGAGCATGGAAGAAGAGTGGTAGCTCGAGTCACGGGTTGTGAATGACTGCATGTCATGTAAGTTATTTTTGAATTTTATGTGGTATGGTTTCTATCGAATTTCCTATACGAGCTTCAAATCTAGCTTAAACGCTTTTACTGTAGGAGTGTTGTGGCATTTTGATCTTATCCAGTGACGAAGAGATCATGTGTGACTTGTTGCAGGTACCTATCTGTAAGGGCTTGCATGTACTGCACTCCCTACTCACGGAATATACAAGCTGACTTGGTCCTACCACGGATAGAGTTTCCTATGTCGTGCTTATTTAGAATTGCAAGCCAGATGCATAGTGATTTATTCATGCATTCATTTGATAGCTGCTCAGGGCAGTAGATGTGCAGTCGGACTCAAAGTTGTAACATTGTACCGGAATGACTCAAATCTGATAATCCCCAACCCTCTCAACAGTTCAGGGTTGTACAGTATGTGTGTCGATAACCATCTCAGGGTTGTCCGTGTGATACCCATGAGTTCTAACGTCGTCAGTGAGCCACTTCTTGGTGTGTGCTGCATGTTCATCCTCGAGGTTTCAAAGAGTTTGTAGATAGATTAGATAGATATATGTATTTACTCTGGAACATCTTTCTTTTTATAAATTCTAGAACTGTTTGATATGGCTCATCTTTTCCACCCGAACCCCCACTAATGCAGATGGTGACTTTGGTTTCAACCTTTGGCTGCTTAATGTTAATTGTTTAAACTTCAAATTAGTTTAGGAGTTGTCTTTCCATGAACATGCGCTCAAAGTGTGGGCGAATTTTTCGAAAACCCTCTTGGACATCCTGCAAAAATTAAACATTATTTAATCGAAAAGGTAATTCATGATGGGCCTTATTTGTTCTAACCTTTTGTCAGTTCATTCTCTCCTCATTATTTACTTTAATCAAACAATATTTTTCTATTGTATTACAGCACGTTTTTCGTGGGACTAGACCTGTGGTTGTGTACCAGTTACATAAGTTCACTAGTCTCACCTTCCCTTCAGAGGACTCACTTTGCCCTATTAGCTGCTTTGTTTGCATGCACCCTTGAAAACGATGGTGTGTGCAAAGGGGCAAAAATCCATGGCTTTGGTTGGTAGAAAACTTGGAGACGATTAGGAAATCCTTACACTTAGTGTTGAACATAACTTCAAAAAAAAAGAAAAAAAAAGAGTAAATAAATAAAATCATTCACATGTGAAAATTCGGTCTTCTTTTTGTTTTCTTTTAAATATATATTTCAATTTTTTTTTTTGAGTGCAGGCTTGGAGTTTTAAAATTATTTTGTAATATACATAAAATGCAATCACAAAAAGATTAGGATAATGCTGTATTTTTGGCAAAGGTGGTCACTTAAACTATGGACAAACCTTGGACAAGCATTGTATTAAAAATGTAAAAAATGTAACAAAGAATTGAATGACATTTGGTGTCAGAAGAAGGAGAAAAAAAAAAAAAAAAAAAAAAAAAAAAATCTAGAAAAAATCATAAACCAAATTCATTTGTTGCAAGAAATTTGTGAATTATGCAAACTTGGTATTATTTTGGATTCTAAGTTCAACACATGCAATCAAATTTCGCAAAACTTAAACATTTATTGTTCTTGGTTCAATTGCAACTTCTAAAGACTTTGTAGTTAAAAAAAACTTTCATCTAGATTTTCAAAATAAGTATTCGTATGTATTTATGTGCAGTGTCTTATAGTAATTATTTTTTATGATTGATTCTTCTTAGTTTACAATCATTGTGATTGTTCAAGGTTTCTATTATCAACAACTCCAACAAAATGTTTAGTGTGCACTAATTTAATTAAAATAGATGCCACAAGCAATAATTGTGCATCTCTTTATATTAGTAACATTTGAGTTGTTTATAAAATTTTGTACTAGGCCAAGATACACAAGTTTTTAAACATACTGTAGTTTTATGTACATTTTTTACACATATTTTTAAAAAATATTCATATTTTAAACATTGATTTTACATGGTAAATTACCGTGTAAAAAGTTACAGTAATTACTTTTCAAAATAAACATCAATTTAAACATTTACTGAGTAAAACTAGTGTGATTACATTGTTAAATTAATGCTTAATTTTGCACATTGTTTTTTTAAAATTACATAGAATAATTTGCATAAAATTTTGTACTAGGCCAAGATATATATTAAAAGAAATAAATAGAAAAAATGAGCTACTTAATGGCTTGGCAAATGCAAGTGCCCAAAGAAACTACTCCTCATGTAAACTATGAAGTAGCTCATTTTTTTTTTTATTACGTTTGATGATCTTATCTTTATTTCTTTATTTAGGACATTACACCAACTTAAGAATGCAATTGCAAAAGTCGGCATGCTGAAGATTTTAGTAAGAATTAAATTAAAAACAATTAGAATAGAAACATTATCAACCAAGACTTATTTAAGAATTCCTTTTAATATATGGTTGGTTAATTTTGAGTATAATTTTAATTTTTCTAATATTAGAAATTTTAAAGTCAATACATGGTATAATTTATATATTAAAAAAATATTTTAAAATCTTTTTTTAATGATGTATTATTTTATTAAAGAGGCATAACTCTTTCTTTGTGGCTACAATTAAATACCAATGTAACAACCTAGATTGTTTTGGTATTAAAATAAATCTAACTTAAATTTCTTTTGACTATTGTACAAGATAAAATTAATGTGTTGTTGAAGTTGTACAATTATATTTTAGAAAGAAATATAATTTAAATAAAAACTAAAAACTTATTTATTTATTAGTTATCTTTTTTCATCTTCTAAAAAGTATTTACAACTTATGTAGATCAATGCTATTAAAGATTTAGAAGTTATTTTTCCACGCCTTTGCAATATTTCTTCATAAAAGACTTTATTCTACTTTCTTTAGAATACATACATAAAATAGCTAATAGTCTCAAAAACTCTAAGGTTTAAATGATTATTTAAATATATTTAATTTTTTCATAGCTTTATGTAATAAAACCACAAATATGAACTATACTTAAAAAATAGAATGAAAAGTTATTTTAGAAAACTTAATATTGAAAAAAAAAAAAAAAAAAAAAAAAAAACTGCATAATTATTAGATAATATTTTAAAAAAAACAGTTATCATATAATATAATTTTTGCTGTTGGTGTAGCACAATCAATAAATATTACAAGAAAGAAATAAAAAAAAGGAAAAAAAAAAAATCTATTCCTTTGAATACTAAATTTGGAACTATTTTGAGTTTTAATTATTTGAAAAATAAAAAATATGTTTGACTTTGTAGTTAAGATATATGGAAAATATCACTATAAAATTTAAGGTTGCAAATGAGTGAAAACTATAGACAATCTAAAATGCAGATTATTATACATTTTATTTTATTTTATTTTATTTTATATTTTTAAATAATGCTAACAAAGACTGCACATTCATCTAATTATTATGAATAAAATCTAAAAATAACCACATGTTTAAAAAATTAACAAGTTTGTAGAGATGATGCAATAAAATTGATTATCTTGTAGATATTAGTCACATTGATCCAATTTTAAAACCAAAATTTTTGTAAAATAGAGATTTTTTTTTTTTTTTTTTTTTTTTTTTTTTAAATTCTTTATCTACTATAATTTTATATCTAAATATTATTTTCACTTAGCCAAGTTATATAATGTTGGTTAATATAAAATAGAGTTAAAAATAATTATAGGTTTTTTGAGACAAATAAATATTTATATTTATTTATATATTACTATAAATAAATATAATAAAAACTATGTTGAAAAAATATTCTATATCATAAATTTTTATAAATAATATATATTGAATGAAGTAGATGCAATTACTACATTAAGTATTAAACATACATATCTTAAGTTTTATAAAGATCATAGACAAGAGATATTATAGCTATTACAAAAGTTTCAAAAATAAATTCTCTAACTTTTAGAAGTTTTTAGAAAATAATTTTAAAAATATAAAAAGATAGATACATTACCAATAATTCATACTATAATTTATTTATATGAATGATGTTATTTTAATATTATAAAATAATAAGATTTAAAAAAGAAATTGATGAGATTTATAAAGTAATTTGAATAAGAAATACAAAGGATTTGTTTTTTGTTGAAAATTCAATTTTATATATAGCTCCATCTATACATGTTTTTAGAATTATTTTTATTAAAAAAAAATTAAATATGAAACTAAAATTCTATAAGGATCTAAATAATTTTTATATATTATTGTGCAGATTTTTTTATTAAATTTAGACGAAATCAATGCTTGTAGGTTGAAAAGTTAAAGATTTTAGACAAATTGAGATTAGGATTTCATAGGATCTTTTATAATTAAGATGTAAGAAAAAAATAAATATCAAATATAGAAGTTTTGAAATTATCATTGTGGCTTTAAAAGATTTTGCATGGTTATATTTATAAAAATATTGTTTTAAAAAAATCCGATTAAAACATTAAAATTGTGTTTATTTTTATAAAATTATATTGCCTTATGATGATTTTCAAAGCAAATTCATTTAATTTAAATAATTAGAAGTACTTTGATTTTTTGTATTTTAAAAATAATAAAATAATATTTTTATATTTATTTTTAATATATATATATTCTTTGAATTTTAACTTTTCTTTTAAATATTTTATTTATATAATTTTTAATAATTACTTATTTATATATTTTTTGTATAAAGTTGTTTCTTTATAGTTACTTTGCATCAACATATAGAAGAAATCTAATTACAATAAATGTTTTGTATAGACACATCCATTTATATATATATATATATATATATATATATATATATATATGTGAAATTTTGGTGAAAAGGATTTAATAAGATATTTATTTGGTCACAAAATTGTAAGACTATATTTATTTATTTTCAACATCACAAATAGGTATAAAGTACGAGTGGTAAATTTACTTGTATTTTTCCAATTTTGAGAGTGTACTTAAAAATATAAAATCATCAATGTTAGGAATAAATATGGATTTAGAGTTTTCTTTGTTTAAATTTTTTGGGTGATAGATAGATAGATAAATATTTTGTAAAAACATTGTTTAGTCTTGATTTTCAATACCTATGTAAAATAAAAATATCTAAAATGAATATTTTTATTTAAATCTTAATATTTAAGTTTGATTAAATAAGCCTTATTTGTTTGTTAGAACTTGTGGTAAAGCACTAATTTTTAGTAGATTTATGGCTTATTTTATAAAGTCCCATTTAATAAGGTTTTTGTTTGGAATATATATATATATATATATATATATATATATATTAATTTTTTTTTGATAATAGACTACTTTGATAATACTCTATTTTTAATATATTTTTTTATTGACCTTATATTATAATACTTTTAAAATTTATAGCTTGATAAAATAATTTTTTTAATTGCATTGCAATAATGAGAAGTACATTTATAAAAACTATTTGTCATAGTTTTTGTTTTTGTTTTTATTTTTATTTTTATAAATTAAAATAGTTTGTAGATACATTAAATGCTTTTGGAATATATATATTTTTCCATTCCATTATTTATCCCACAAAATTCATCAAATATTGTATTGTGCCTACCTTATGCTAATTAAAATTAAAAGTTTTATTAACTTTGAATAAAGAGAAAACATAATTGTATCATTAGATAGATTAAAGATATTGGCACAAGTAATAAATAAGAGCAATATTGAGCAAAGATCTATTCTTTATTTGAGTTTTAATTATTTATGATAGTTGAGTTTAAGCTTCATTTATTTATTCTTGTTATTATCTCTAAACAATATACAATTTGAATACAAAATCAAACAACAATTTTCTTTCTGTTAGAACAAGAGCAATTATTTCTAAGAACACCATTCTTAATTATTGATTGACCTCAAAAATTATCAACAAAAGATGTTGTTTAGCTTATAATTTTAGAACAATTATCTCGCTTTATTTGGTTAAAAATGAGTAATTGTAGGTTTTTATGTCCTGTCTAACTTTCAATGTAAGTAAGTACTACTAGTTTAGTTTAGTTTTTTTTTTCTTTCTTTAAATATATATACATATAAGTACCATTATTTACACAAATATATTAGACAGTATTGCTGTTATTTTTTAATAGTAACTATCTGTATTACTTGATTTAAAAAAAATTCAAGTACATGATTTCATATTTAATTATTATTATTTTTACTGAGACAAACTTTTAGTATTGGGATAAACCTTTCATTATAAAATTAAAATTCTTTAATACCCATTTTAAAATAAAATAATCAATGATTTGAACCAAATTTCATGGTTTTTCTTGTGTCCTTTATGTATAATATTGTGTTTTGAATAGCTATCATAATTATTTCCAAGTTGTTGAAGATTGAGATGCAATTGTAGGACTTATCAGATATTTGTTTATTTTTTTTATTTTTTCAAATATACAAGATCAATTTCTGAATAAAATGTTTAAGTAATGATTTTAAATAATGGTTAAATTCTGAATGTGTGATTTTACATTTAGTTTGTGAAAAGATTGGATGGTAAATCCATCACAACTCTATTTGATGTGGATTGCCAACCATCGAAACTGAAAAACAGAAGCAAATATAAAATGAATCATTTATTTCAAAAATTAGATCTTACTAATTCCTAAAGTAACTACATAACTTCTGCCATGCACATATCAAAATGATACTAGAATGACATTTAAGTTATTTAAAATCACAATTCGTCAATATTCCGAGTCCATCTCATATTAATATTACCCTATCGCCGTGTAACTAAATAAATGTTGATAAAATCCATGTCTTTATACTATAAAATCTAAAATTCATGAATTTTGAAAATGAAAATTATTCAATGTATTCACTTGGGATTAATATCATATTTTCAAAATTAATTAGTGTAAAGATAATTAGGGTTTGAGAAAATGCATCAAGACCAGGATCGTCGTCGTCGTCGAGCAAGCACAAGCATACGGGGTATAGGGCTTTGAGCCTCAACAGATCGATCACACCACAGACCTCCAGTCTCGTCATTTTCCTGAGACGAACCAATTTCTAGCTTGTCACCGATATTATCGCAGTTGGGTGCCCCTCGAAGTTGCGTTGTGATTCGGGAAGGAGTAATTCAAGAGATATAAGTAGCGAGGTTCATTTTGTTGTTTTTCTGGTTTTGTTTTGGAAGACGATACAAATGGGTGTTGCAATGGAACTAGGAGAGGAGGTGGTGCTGCTGTATGACGGAGGCAAGGTTGGGGTCACTCGCTTTTCGGAGGCGCTTGTACCGGAAGCATCTCCTCCGCTGCAGCGTGTGTAAGTTTCTGGAAGTCAATTGTGTGTTTCGATCTGTTTCGTAGTGGGAACTTGCAATGCGGACACGTTTTTGTGTGATTCGATTCAATCACTGTGTGTTGTTGGACTTTGTTTTTTTGTTTTTTTTTTCGTATAAGTTCTGGCAGTTTGAAGTTGTTAGGGTTATCCAACTATTTCCAATCGCAGGAATTTAATTACCCTGTCTGAATGTATTAAGTTTTTATGGGGTTTGGCATTTGCTGGGCGTTTTGTTTGCATATTGGTTGAAACTGTCGTTGAGAGAGTTGGGTATCTTTCATGTGTAAGTCTGTGATTTGGATTTACTGACGATCGATGAATCTCAGGCATTTCATGAAATGTTACAGATTAAATTTTCTCTGTTACTTTATTGTCCTACATTCGGTAGTGGTAGAAATTTTTTATGAGAACTTTAGGGCCTAGGCACTGCGAAGAGGGATTTCTGTGATTTTAATTTGGGTAGCTTTTTCTATGCCATGGCGGCAATAGTTTTGCGAGTTTATTTTCTTCTTCATTGGTCTGCAAGTGATACACTTGCAGTTTATGTTCATTGCTGCAAGCTGTGTGTCACTCTGATATAACAGTGCTAGCTCTTTTCATCATGTGCAGCGTATGCAATCTTCCCTGGAAAGATCCCAACGGAGAAGTGTTAACTAAGAGTGAGGTTGTTAACTTCAAAGATAACGCTGGCTTGACTAAGGTGCTTCTATCTTTGCTTCACTTTGTTCTTAACCTCCTACATCTCTTTTAAAACAATAATTTTTAATGAAAGTTTATCACAATTGAATTTGGTTTCCCAATGTAATGACTGTGTTTGGTAGTTAATTTGCGAGGGAATTGTGCAGGTATCCTTGATCGTCTTTCGTCAAGAAGTCACTTCATCCGCTTGTGGACGTGTTGTGCACGATCTTTTCGAGTATCTGCTATCAAATGCCCCGATCCAATCACCCGGCTTCAGCCTCGTAGTTCCAGCTATTTCACGAATGCCAGGGTCAGTTCTGAACATGGACACAGGTAACAATGCAAACATTTACGCAGCTTTTTTTAACAGAACTTCAGAAGGCTCTGGCAACCTGGACGGTCTGCCGAAGCTACCCTCAACATTTGCTGTGCGAGATGGGTTCCTGGCATACGTGTTTCACTATGTGCATGCTACGCAATTGCCAACCTTAGTGTTGGTAAGTCCAAGTACTGAAGGGGTAACTGCTCAAAAGAATGAATCCAACGAGGTAAGTGAGTCGACTGTAAGCCGTTCATGAGTGCTGTGTTAAGATGCAATAGGTACTATTTTGGAAACTGGAATGCTTAGAATTCAAATTCTGCACAGCTATGTCTAATAAGTTGATTGACCTTGTCGCGATCCCCACCTGCTAGGTCGGATGCTTATCATGCTTCCTGGTCGTATGCTCCAGTGCTGTTTTTTGCTCAGTGGATCGTTTTTTGATTGGGATTTTGTAGGTGCTACTCGCTCTTGGTGATGTTGTTGGAAGACAAATCGGACTCACGTGTTCGAAGCAAGAACTGAACCATGTCACTAGTTTAATACCCTTGGCGAGTAGTATGGAAGACGACTGGCGCAGGTTGTATATTTAAATCATGCAGATATAGGTGGAGAGACGTTTGTATTTTGCTTCTTGGAAATATAATCAGAAAGTGGTTCAGGCAAACATTTGAAGCATGCAATTGTTGAAGAATGTCTACCTGACGGCGAGCATCATCAAATGAAAAGCAGGCTGGAAAGGAAAGAGGTCATGCATCTTCTCGCACACCTACTTAAGCCTCTTCCCAATTGCTTCATATCAGCAACCTGTTTGTTTTCCTATCGATATAAAATTTTCAATGATCAGACTGATCCGAAGCAGAACGTTGTCCTTTTCTTCGGCCATAGACAGTATCACCACGCCGTCACTACCGGGGCCAAGTTGGTCTGTATCGATGAAAGCAGGGTTGACGAGAGGAGAGAAAGTACTTGAACCTCTTATTGTGCTTATAGCTGATGGTCAAAATGGGTTCTAAACCTTGGATTCCTCAATGTTTCTCGTCGAGTGAACATGCCTTGATCTTCAGGTTGAAACCGAAGCCTTCTCCTTTTATTCTTAGCCCTCGCTTGATACTTGTCATATTTCGAAGCCTCTATTTGTACAGAGCCTGATCGATTTTGCGAGGTCTCATTACATACCAAGGAATTGTGACTGTAAATAATTCATAGATTCTTAAGTTGGGATTTTTTCGCGTTTGGTTTTGACTCTCAGATTGATTGGCAAAAGTGGAGAGATTATTCAGGAGAAGGACAATCTGGACCGTATCTTTGCGAAGCTAGAGGATCCTACTCATGGATTTGTTCAACATTCTTGCTCTGAACCTCGCATCATGCACTTATGGTGCTTCAGAGTCATACCAGTCTTTGACACGCTTGTCAGAACCTGTTCACTGACAACTCCATGTACTTCTAAAAATACCGATATCATTCTTCCAAACTAGTGCTTCACTTTTTTCATTCCACAGTAGTTGGTGGGTGGTATAATACGGGGTTTCGAACATGGCCTTTTTGGGTGATATTTCACCCATGATGCAAGATTGAAGTGTCCTGTGGTATTTCAAAATACCACTTAATATGTCCCCAATGAATTTGAAATTGAAATATCAAAAATGAGGTGGGTCAAATATCAAAAACCACTTTGTTTGTTTTGTCTCAGCTCTCCTCTTTTTGACTCCATACAAGGGATAATGAAATTTGAATTAGGGGGTAATATCAAGGGTGATAAAGTTTGAACAATGATATTTTGGATTCGATATTATGAATGGTACTGGAAATAGCAGGTGCAGCAAAAGTGCCATGTTTGAAATCTTCTAATAGGAATGTTTTTAGCAAGGACATCATCAAATAAAAAACTTCCACATGTGTTTCTCAATGAACTTTTTCAAGGGATGATAAAGAATAAATTATTCTAACAAAAAAAAAAAAAAAAAAAAAAACCATTGCAAGGAGACAGAATGTTGCAAAGCAATCTCCTCTCATGTTATCTAGTGAATAGAAAAAAGAAACTACTTTTATGAACAATTTGGTGGATATTAGATGTATGTTCTATACTTTGTGTACGATGAGGCATTGCTTGAAAAGAGATCTTCATTAAGCAATTTGGATTTTTATTTTTATTTTTTGTTCTTTTCTACACTCCTTGCCTTTATTAAGTTGCAAAGTTGACTAATTGATTAGTAGTAGGATTTTAAGATTATCCATATGGTCTTATAACTTTTTAGATTTTACATAATGATCCATAAGATATGAAAAGAGAGACCATTTTTCTTTATGAATTTGTTTTAAGATTTTTTAAGCATTTTTTTTTCTCCTTGTTTGTCCATAAGTAATAGAAAAGTTTTGAAGGATATTCAAAAGAATATATAGAAGAAATCCATCTATTGCAATCTTCAAGCCTTTCAAATCATTGTAACATATATTGTATATTAGCATCATATTTGATATACATGTCATTAATAATTATTCTATTATCAATTAGTTTTTAAATTTTTTTAATATATATTTTCAAAATTAATATGAACTTGTTTTCTTTCAATGAGCTATAAAAAAAAAACTTGTCTTTTTGAATGTTGAGTATTCTCAAAGGAGTCATGCCACTTCAATCTTTTGTGCTATTGCTTCTGATAATTCATTGTTCTCTATGTAGACTTATAAATAATGCATTCTTTAGCATTATAGGCTTTTATTCCTACGTATAATATATTTTCCAATCCTTCATTATAAATCTGCCATAAATGATAAATTATACTTTACTAATATTATTACTAATTTTAGTATTATATATACTTACTTTAAAAAAATTGGTGAAAAGTATTTCAAGAATAGATAGGAATAGTATGAAATTATATGTATAAGTATATATGTATATATAATACAAATAGAATATGTGAATGTGTGTACATGCATGTATGTGAACATGTGTAAGATTGTTGAAATAAAAAGTGATTTTATTTATAAAAAAGTGTATATAAACAAATATCTCTTTGGACGTAAGCATAAACTATAAACTATATTAGAAATATTTGCAAATAATAATGATTTTTTTTCTATTTTAGACATATATTGTAATTGTGCTATACATAAAATGTAAAAAATTAAAGTTTTGTCACAATCATATTCTTGACTTCAGTTATTAGAAGAGGTAGAATTGACATGTAAAACAAACTTGAAGGAATGAAAATTATATTTTGAATATAGATTGATTTCCATAATAGCTTTTTTGCAAATATAGGCTTATGTTAGCAAAAATAAAATAATAACATGAACTTTGAAACTCAAAATTTGCCAAATTTGCAATTAACATAGTAATAATATCTCCATACAAAACCAACTCGTCAAACACATCTCCAATTTGCCGCCAACTGTTATTCTAACATCATGAGTCATACAAACTCAAGAAAAACACTATTAACCTTTCAAAGATGCAAGAAGGGTTACAACCCAGTTTGAAGAAAAGATGTCACACCTCAAAGAGAGAGACACACATTGAAAACAGCATTTGGATTGAGAGCCGTGACCGTAGCATAGGATGAGATGACAAGGAATTCGGTCTCATTGCTGTACAGGTAGCACAGCATGGCAAATAGCTACACAAAAAAAAAATCCATTTGTTGTGATACCATGAAGTGGTAACAATCAGAGCGCAACGCTGCAATTCACAAGCTCTCGGACACTCACCCCAGAAGAAAATGTAACGGAAAATGAAGTAACACGATCAGAGTCTGCTTGAAAGCGGCCCTTCCAATGCTAGTCTCATCCATATCTTTAGCTCTTCTCCTCCAAAGGACAGGTGAGAAAGTAATAGGTGAGAGGACAGTAAAAATCCGCGACTGATCTCAAAGGGAATGCAAGTTTTCCTCCCTGACAACCAAAAGCAGCTGATTGACTGATAGAAAGCGCTGCAGTGGCGGTACAAGACCACATGTATATCCCAAATGCTGGAAGATCACGAATGATTTATACGCTTCCAAGACTGTAGGCTCGTCTCTCATCGATCTATCAATGATCAGAAATCAGTTCATTTGCTACATAAAAAAATAAAAATAAAAAAAATAAAAAAAGGGTGAAAATTCACATCTACTACCTGCACCTTTCTACCTTTCAACCACATGCTTTGGATGGTTCTGCTCATCGGCGTCGTTTGCTTCATCTTGCAGATTGAGTAGCAGCGAATGGCCTACTTTCAGGCTTGTGACGCGCACCGGCTTGCCGTTCATTCCCTCTGCGAGAAGAAGAAGAAAAACAATTTGAGTGTTCAATGCTCAAGGAGTTGCAGCAGCTGGCTACCAGAATATGGCTTCCCATCATTCCATTGTTCAGTGCGATGATATGGGTGGTTGCAAAAGGAAACGTACCTCCAGGAGTCACAAGACACACATTCTCTGAATTCTGCAACAAGACGCTGTGCCGTTGTCCCTCCACTTCCACTTCCACAAGCAGCAGCGGCCTTTGCTCAATTTTCACCCGCCCCACTAAGACTGTCCGAGATCGTCCCTGTGCGTCCACCACCAGCACTTGACTGCCGGTGTGAAGCTCAGACAGGTAGGAAGTGACGCCTCCGGCCATGCCAACATATGCGTGTACTGGGCCCTGCATTGGAACGAGAAAAGTGCGTCAACAGCCGACCAAACAAAGAAATCTAGTATATTGATGAAGATCCAAGGCGAGGAGGGGTAGACTTACAGCGTTTACGCGAAAGGGACGGGAAGCGGTGGGGTCGATGTCTGAGCACTCTGAGTGCACCAAGAAGAGCGCTCTCGCAAATGAACCAACCTGCAAAAGTGGACAAAGCAGAATTCGTGACACAGTTCGAAAGCTCAAAAACCTACGATGCGAAGTCGTTGGGAATTTCAGGGTTGACGAAAGAGGAAGGACATGGGTTTAAGCAAGCTTACCAAGAGACCTTCTCCGGGTTGCAAGAGGTGGCAAAGATCAACAGTGACACGGTCTCCAAGCCCCACCGGCTCCACTGCCGTGACCATGGCGTTTACCATCCTCACGCCCATGGTGGTCTCTTCCCTCTTTTTCAAATACGTCCCAAGTTGATAGATCTGCGAAGGGTCGTCTGTATGTAGAACAACGCCGTCTGTGCCCTTGCCGAGGGCCTCCAGATAAGTCCGGGCATCGCTGGTGCTGTTCACCACGGCGTACAGAGCTGTACTACTGTTCAAAAATGCTGCAACCATCCTCTCTGCCGCCGCAACCTGCATCAATAAACACCCGCAACACAAACTTGAGACTCAACATCTCCCTTACCACGCCACGTTCCAACAGCAGCATATTAATTGTGCGAAGACGCGCGAATTCTGAGCTGATAGACTTTATCACAAGAGATTATGATTCCGACCTGTGAATCGAGGGCACTCATGACCACAACTTCAGCCCGGCCCATCAAAGAAGGAAGGTAATCAATCTGCTCGCCGGACGCAAACTCATGGCCCAATGCTGCCACTTGCCGATTGTGGGAATCCACGATCTGGCCGCCGTCCAGGTATAATGGCCGAATTTTTGCAAGCACTGTCAAACCAAGCAATCGACGCTGTTGGAGGAATTCGCAACGACAGGGTTTTTTCTTCAAAAGAAAAGAAAAATGAAAAGAAAAGAAAACGACATGAAATGATGCAAATGGGTGAAGGAGCATACAAATCCAGTCGTCGGCGAGGTCTTTTGTATCAATTGTGAAGACAAAAGTCGTCCAGCCTGTCTCAACGGCGGCCATCATGACATCCTTGCTGCTCGTCCACACCCAAACGGACTTAGCAGCCTTCTCCCGTGAGCCGATCCGGCCGCTTGCCACTCTGTCCACCGACATCGACCTCGAGAAGGGATTTGTTTTAGGCACACACGTCTGCACCGTGAGAGCCTTCGAAACCGGCAAGCTGCTGCTATGGGGCAACCTAGGGGTTTTGGCCTCCTCCAGCCTCCTGTCCCTGGAGTACAGGGGCTCATGGTGATGAGAATCGCCAATGTTCCTGCTGCGCGGAATTTCGAAGATTGGCTCATCGACTGTAGTAGATAGTCTCAAGTCGTGGTTGGCCACGACTAAGGGTTCATCGATTCGGTTCCGGTCGAATTCGAAGCTAGGACGGCTCCGTGTGGTGCCAGTTGAGGCTATGGAGTCTTGCCGCCTCCACGACAATGGTCCCCCTCCTTGCATCAGGTCCTTCAGGTCCTGATTGTAGGTTGTGGACGACATTGACGATCCTCTTAGCGAGGAATTGAAGGAGGAGTGCTTCGACAAGCTGGAGCCTGGTGCCGCAATAGCAAACTGGCGAACGTAGTCCACACCTCCCGAGTTACGGACGCGCGTGACGAAACACGTCAGGTTGTCGATAAAATACTTCCTATCTTGCTTCATTTTTCTGAGGATACCATGGCCGTGGATTCACTCAGCTTAACAGACTTTATGATATTCACAAGCCATGGCCGGCAATCAAGCAACCTTGAAAAAAGGGAAAGCGCTGGAAAGGGAGCAGGATGATTTCATCATACCTATCAAGAACGACATGATGAGCCCCGAATTTTTTGGCTTCTTCAACGACGATCATCTTTGGGTGAAGCCCTGGCTTCACATCTATCACTATCTGCACCTGGGCCTTCTCGCAACACTCCTTGAGATCCTCGATATTTAACAACGCAAGACGCTTGCTGGAAAGCTCGTTTTCCAAGATCCTCCTATTGGCTCCGAGCCATGAATTCTCGTCCAGGCGGCATTTGTATCCCACTGTTGCGGAAAACGTCCACGCTTAACATCAGTGTGCCTCGTAACCTGCGACTGCGCTGACCAATCTCGCACACAACGGACTGGAAAATAAAACGCTAGTTCATAACCCTAAACCCTTGCACCGACAAAGCTGCGACCGAACACCTGAATACTTTAAACCTTCACAACAAGAATCAATCCCAAGCACCTCGTCTTGTGTCTAATTTCTCTAACCTTGCGAGACATAATTCCAGCGTGTGACCCCAATAAATTCCATCGTCTCGAAGAACTTGAACACATCACCGCGCTCTGCGAAAAATGCTAATAGAAGCCGCTAATTCTAATCACAGCTACCTTCACGAAGCGCTGTGGATTACATCTAGGAGATAAAGAGCAACTTACTGGGATTAAGGACGTGAGAAAGAATGCCCACGATACAAACCGTATCGCCTGGCCGAACCGCATTCATGAACGCCCAATTCAGAGCCTGTGTAGAGATATCCTTGTTGACATCCAACGCGACCAACACTACTCCCGGATGCATCTCCTGTTGTGGTCTCGGTTCCGACGCGCCGTCTTCCATCATCACCTCCGCCTCCATCTCCGCCATAAAATTTCAACCGCTACAACTAGCAAACCATTCACTCTCTCCCTGACCCTTCGAAACTGTGCGTCGCCGTCGTCTGCGTGGAAACCAAAGTTTCCTTCGCGCTCCGCGGCTGGTTACTTCTCATCCTGATCGGGATAACAAGGAGACATCCTTGCAAGTCTCGCTCCCCCCGAATTCGATCCCTCCCATTCCTACACCCACCGCGACAACGAGTCACAACAATGCCTGAAAATTAGCGTAATGGTACGAGGATTCCCCTTCTACCGACAACACGGATTTGCAACACAACAGTCCTGACTAACGAAAACCTGGATGCGACTCAAAGGTTGCGGGAGGCATCGGGAAACATCGCCTGTTCATTCGGGGCGGTTGCAAGGAACCAGCTCCTTCCCCCAGGACAAGCACCTTTTCACGTTCGGAGAGTTCGGCGCTGAGCGCGCAATACAAGGGTACCTTTTGATATGGGAAGCTCCAGATCCCGCCGGACTAGCTACTGCTGGCACCGCTGAGTCCTTTCTGGGAGCACACAATCAACCAGCGCGTGGGCAAGCCTTCCTCGACCAGGAAAAAGGATTACTCCTCGGCGTTAAGAATTTAGAATTGAAAATAATGCGTGCACATGAGGTGACTTGGTCAATCGCGAAGCGAGCTATGCTGCTTGACAATCCAATAGCGATCATCTCGTGTCTCTTTTGCTAGCGGCGCGCATTTGAAGGTGGAAACAATAATAATACAACAACAATAATAAACTATTGCTACAAGAATGTCCCCAGACAATCAAACTGGAGAGTTGCAGTGGCTTGACCCCCAAGGGAGCTGCAGTTCCTTGTCTCTTCGTCGACTGGGATAGCAAAATCAGAAACCAATCGGAATCCAATTAGTTTTGCCTCCTCAACGAAATCTTCGGTCATTGATTAATTAATCCCCGGACGCTCAATGATTGGCGGTACAGACCGCTAATGAAGCTAGACTACACCATTCGAGACCTGACTCTTGGCCCTCGATAAGATCACGTCCCCTACACCCGCGGCTCGATATGACAGAAACGTAGCTTTTCAGTTCGGTCGGTACACCCACATCCAAACCAACAGTCGTCGTGAACAGTGCTCATAGAGAGGAATGCCACTCGAGAGCCACATACTGAAGCGCGAGAAGGAAGAAGAAGAAGCGGGACCCGATGATGGAACCACAGCATCTCCGATTACCCAATAGCGTGGTGCCCCTTCAAGTCAGGGGCTGCGTCGACGCAATTAGGAAAAGCCACGGAACAATTGTAGTGCAACCCCCCTAAGGGCACAACGGCATCTTTCCTGTTTGTGCTTGCTTGCCTGCTGGGTGGGGATCTCTGAGCTCGGAGCGCCCCTTCCACTGCCTCACTCGCCCCACTTTTCCCCCTTCCTCCATCGCTCCAATCTTGTCCGGCATATCCATCACATATGCCTACCTCCGCAAGGAAACCTCCCCCCTGAATAAAGAAAATAAATCTCTCGGTTGCCACTAAATATGGCGCAGCCTCAATGAATTCCTGTGCCCATTTCACTGCTTAATTTGGCTTCCCTACGGCTGCGGTGGCAACCGCAGCAAATTAGAGAGTGTACCGAGTTCATCGCTTCCTCTTCTTCCATTTCCTTCCTTATTCCCGCACAATCGAATCTTGCAAATATGGGTGGGTGGTGGGGTGCCATTGCCACGTTGCTAGCGCCTCCGGAAACAGTTGAGATTCATCTTCTGTTGCATGTGGTGTCTCAACCTGCGCCAAAACATGGGCCGATGCTTTGTACTACTCTCTCCCCCTTTTCCTTCTTATTCTTATGCTTCTTTGCTTTTTTTGGTATCTTTTGATGCTTACTGCATCAAAAGATAAAATGTTTTGCAAAAGCACACCTGATCCCTTAAACCATGTTTTTGTCTTGCAATCCAATGCCACATTGAAAAATAAAAATAATCAGTTATTTATTATTACAAGGATGAGGTGTTGTTCCTCTCCTTATATCTATATGAAAGTGTTTGCCTTTGCTATCCATGGTCTACTATGAAAAATTATTTCTTTTGTTTAAGTTTATTACACTTGATGTTTTCCTTTAGAGCTTTTATACATGCAAAAGAAGGGTCATCTTTTGCTATATATGCTATGTTGATTTTTCATGGTGGAAAGATATCAATTGGTATTTTTAGCTAGTATCAAGATTTCAAGGATGTTTTTGAAAAGAAGAAAGCAAATATTCTCTTTGTAATAAGTTGGATTATTATAGGCGTGAATCATTTTTTTTTAAACAAATCAATTTAGTTGCATAGCAATTACACCTACTAAAGTCTGTATAAAGATCCATTTTGTGCTCCATGTGTCTTTTCTTGAGCCATTCAAGATAGTGGATATACTAAAAAGAAGTCAGATGTCATATCTTCTATAAGCAATTAATAATAATCAAGAATTTGAAATAGAAGAGGTAGCACTAAAATAGACTAGAATGCATCATAAATTAGTAATAATATGATGTAATAAATGTACATGAAGACCATTCAATTTTTTAGTGCAATTATTAAGCTATTATAATTTTTATCAATATAAGATTATTGCTCCTTGTGGGACTCTCTCTTAAAAGAAGGAATTATGTTATGGACATAGTGACACTTAGAAACTTGTTTTGCAAGTTAGATACATATCTTGCAAGTTGGACATGTATTAAATGCCATATAAAGTGTTGTCATGTTGTTTCTTAATTAGATAGTATATATAAAGATAATAACAAGGTCTTTTTTAACTATTATCAATTTCTATCTTATTATTCTTGCCTTAATTTAAGAATCTTTAGTCTCTTCATATTTAACAATAGTCATTCTAGTTTCTATCTTATATCTATCTTTAAATGTCACAATAGTGTTTTGCTTTCTTAGAGTTTTGTTATGATTTATGTTCTTAACACTTACTTCTCTATTTGTCTAAAATTGAAATTATTTATAATGTAAATTACATATTATACTTCCAAAAACTTTGGTAATTTTTTTAAAAATACCATGAGACAACACTATCATTGTATAGTGTACTAAATGTTTTTACTTGCATTATAACCTCAAATTTTTAGTGCAATTATTAAGCTATTATAATTTTTAGTATTTATCTTATTTACATATAAAGAATTATATAAGATATATATATATAGTTATAATAATAATAATAATTATTATTATTATATATATATTGAATAATTAAATACAAATATTAGATTTACATACTATCATAGATTAATAAGATAGTTTTAAATAATTTTTTAAATATAATAATAAAAAATTAAAATATTAATATTAATAAATATTTTAAATTATTTATTGGTATTTTAGATATTATAATTATATGAATAACTCTATAAAATATCAATATAAATATTAATCTTTAAATATTTTTAATCACAACAAGAATATGTAATATTAAATTACTATATGTAAATTATATTTTTTTTAATTTTTAAAATATTAATTTAATAAAATAAATTTTTATTTTTATAAATAAGATTTTATTTAATGAAATGTTTAAAATCTTCTTAGCCTTATAATTTAGTATAAGCATGTTTAACGTAGACCTTAAGGCCTTGGTCTTAACTATAATGTATTATCAAGGTGCTCAAACCTACATGACACTAATACACTTGTTTCTTATTAGTTATTGGTTATGGTATATTTATTTTATAATAGTTGTTATACTTTTTAAAAAATTACTTTACCATGGTATTTAAAATTTCCAATTAGAATATAAGATATGAAAAGATCTTTTAATCTTACTCCAATACACAATAATGGCATTTGTAAGTTGTTAAAAACCTTATTTTGGTAAAAAAATAAAATTCTATTTTCAAAATTATTAATTAAGTACAATTATATTCTATTACATATCTTTTATTTTTTATTTTGTTTTTAATCATGAATTAACTTAAGATAATTTTTTATTTTTGGAAGTAATACTTTTATAAAATTTGGTAAGTCTGGAACAACTTATTTTTGTTTACAATTTGTGTCTATGGAGTTTTAAAACTAATGAAGGTAATGGTACATCACTTATAGTTCATTGTAACATATATATATATATGTATATATATATATATTCAATATTTTACTTTATTTTACTTATATTACTAATAAATGAAACCTAAATTTTATATAATAAAGAAATAGCATCAAATAATATAAGTATCATATGTTTGTATAAATATATATTGGTTTGTTCTGTCAATTTCTTTCCTTAATCTTTTTCTTCTATTTTATATTGAAATTTTAGAATTGTGTTTCACAGAAATTCCATGAGCAATGATCAGATACCTTACAGCTAATTCCACTGTTTGCATTCATATAATTAACCATATCTTAAAGAATTGAAAGTAACCAACATACTTCAATCAATTAAATTAGAATTTTTTAAACTTTTTTAAAAAACAAACATATTCTTGATTTTGATACCCCAAATCTAAATATGCCAGCAATATCCCTCCTTCCTTGTCCCATATCCAAAAACAAAAGGACAAATAGAACTTCACTCGTAGCCCCTGATCGTATTCGTAACCAATAGGTTGACGAATACATACGCCCTCGAGATACAAACAATGCTACGATCCCCTGATGGCCACCCACGGTTGCCCCAAGCCCATTAATGCCTCGCCACCAAACATCCCGACCTATTACCGCCTACATTTCTTCATTCGTCCATATTCATCGAGAATCAAGGTCAACCCTATATCTGTGAGAGTGGGGCCCATCACCACCTGTAGATGAAAAGAGCGAAACCACCTTAGGGATTTCAGGAGGAGGCTTGGCTAAATATGGAACGTGTCAAAAATGGAATTAAAACACGTGGGTTCAATCAAGGTTTCCATCTTGAGCGGGTCGGGTGAGGAGGAGAGGGTGACGTGGAGGGGGTGAAGGATGGGCCCCGAGATCTGGTGCGCATGTCGGGTCTCCAGAACCCGGGATTCGAATTGCCCCGTTATTTTTTCGATGGCTGGAAGGGAACGAGTCTCGTTCGCGTTCCCATTCGTTCCAATAGGGAACCCAAGTCTTGGACAGGATTTTCTGGACCCGTATTGATTTTAATTTTTTATACATTTAATTTATTTTCCACCCTCCGACGTGGCAATTTCTTTAGGTGCCTTTGTATAGGAATATTATGGCTTATTTTTCATGATTTTATGATGCTCTTAATACTTATCCTTCGGAGATTTGGGTCCAAATGTTTATTTTAGGGTTGTACAAATTCTCTCAAGTTACTAATTCATGAGACGTTTTAATTCTTTATTGTATAATAAGCTTAGATACATTTTTTGCATGCTCGATTGGATTTTTATTTTATTCCACTTTTAATGATTGCAATCATGGATTTAAATCATATTTATTTCAATGATTGATGATTAGTAATGAAGTGTTCATTTTATGTATTTAAAATTATTTAAAATATAATTTCTATGTACAAATTTTGATGGTATCTTTTTTTGGGATGGTTTGAATTATTAAGTTAACTATTTTGGTATTAAAAAATATAGATTATTTTATTACAAACTTGGCTAATAATACCAAAAAAGTAGCATCTTCTATACAGTGTCAATCTCAAGCATATCATATAACTGTTAAATTGGAACTCAATTGAATCATTGATTTTTTAAACTAATACATGATACACTACACATACAATTTATCATTTAAGATTATTATTAGTTTTTTTAAATTACTAAATTTAAGTACATACCAA